CTCCCATAGTCCCTTCAAGTGGTATCATGCTCCCAGTATGGGTCCCTGGTCACCAAAGCGGCCCCTAGCATGCTGCATGCCCAAAACTTTCCCCTGGTAAAAAGGTTACCTTAGGGATTGAAGCACACAGAATTACACAATATGAGCTACAGTCTAAACTCCTTGAAGGGGGACTATATGAGCCATTGTTTAAACTCCCAGTATCCCCCTTAGTAACCCTGATAGTAGTCCATATATAATCCCTCATATAACCCCCTTTAAGGAGTTTAGACTACAGCTCATATAGGGGAGGATGCTGGAAGTTTAGACTGTAGCGCATGATCATGTCGCCACACCCCTTTGAAGCGGAAGAGCTGATCTTGACGACATCCCGTTTCTACAGGGTTTAGGGTTGTTAGGAGGCCTTATATACCCCCCATAGGTAGTACCCATAAAACCCCCAATAAGCTACAAGGGTCTCCATCAAGGGTCCCTCCTAAAGCCCCTAGAGTTTAGGGTTTAGGGTAGGGTGGGGTTCGCTTCTGGGCCCACGGCATGGGGCAGAGTAATTGACGACTCCGCAATGTCAGTGGCCAACACCACCTGCTACGCTACGGCTGCTATGATTGACCTACTGGTCCTTAAGGGGGCGCGGGGGAGTGAAGATAGGTACCATTGATGCGCTATATATAAGGATTATCATCGGGATCCACCCCCCAACTCTCCCTTAAGCACCAATAAGCTGAGGTTTGGGCTTGGGCTGTACCAGGCTACCTTCCCAACAAAAGAACAACAGCCGCGATAAAGCCCATAAATGCCGGTGCACATACACCCCAAACTTTAAGCCTTAGTCTACACTGGTTGAAGGTGGATTCATGTAGGATTTCCAAAAACAGCTTGACTTGCTGGCATGTGCGAAGTTTGCAGCAGCAGCATTTGGGCTTGTCCTGGCTACAATGGCCCCTAAACCCTCAACCCTAAACCCTGAAACCCTAAAACCCTAAACCAGCAACTGTAAGGCCCCAACATGTGTGACTCCAGGATCTGGCTCCTCAAAGACAAGCTCCTGGACCCAACTTGCTGGTTGACAGTGGGTCCGCATTGGGATTCTGGGATAGTACCCGGTTTAGGGTCTAGGGTTTAGGGATAGTACCCCAATAAGGGGACTATAACCCCAAACCCTAGATTATTATCGGGGTACATAGGGGCTTTTTGAAGCTTTTTGGCGGAATGGAAAAGAAAATGGACGCTACTCTTGCGACAATCTCTTCAGCCACTTTGGAGTGCTGTCCGAAACCCTAAACCCTAAACCCATCTTTGCAGGTTTGCGGCTTCTTAAGCAGGGCGGTGGTGATTCGCCAGCTTTGCGATTTCAAGCTCCAAGCTCCCAGCCCTTATAGTCCCCCTTAAGTAGATGGAATATGGCTTTGGGTATAATATAGTAAGACCCCATATACCCCATATTCTATCTACTTAAGGGGGACTGTAACCCTAGACACTGGTATATCCTAGGCTCGCAGTAAGAGACATTTCCAAAAAGTTGGGGGATCCCGTTTTTACTACACCATAATTTCGGGAACCCCGTATCAGGCTTGTGGTTGTGGGTTGAAATTGCAGAAATTGCACACTGAGACTTGGGGACCACCTTTCTTCAGTTCGGACGTCCGTGCGAAAGCCCCAGGGGTGTAAACGAGATCCTGCTTGTAACGAGCAGCCACAGAGGAAGTCGATCAGGGATTCCTTTAAACTACACCCTCTCCGTTTCTCCCCCTTTCATTAACCGTAATTAGCCCTAATCACCTTAATTGAGGGGAACCTTGGAAGGATAGAAAAAGAGGGATAGTAGGGGAATCCATGAGTTGCGGGGAGACAGGGGGCAAGGAACATGACCCCGCAGCCATGGAATTCAAGCTCCTAAGTCCCCAAACCCTAATATGCGGTCTTCTCAAAACAGGATAGAGGGGCGTTTGAAATTCGCACCTTAAGAGCGCCTGGATCCTTGCAATTTAGCGGCCCGCCGTTGCAAGCATCTGCATTCACCACCACCACTACCACCAGCATCATCATCAACATCATCATCATCATCATCGTCATCATCATCATCATCATATGGTTTCGCCTTTGGGGAGTTCTACTATTCTACTATGCCCCTCGGTTCACAAAACCTTGCGTCACCGTACATGCCCACTACCCTAGGCCTACGTAGGTATCAGAATATGTCGGGCCTCCAGACCTGGTTCCCTTTGACATGATATGTACAACAACTAAGAAGTAACCTAAACTAATTTCAACGATTACCCTGTAGCTTCCGCAAGATTTTCCCCCTTCCATCGCAAAAGCAACTTTGGATTCAACGTCCTGCTCTTCGCGCGGAACCATGGAGTGTAGAGGGAAGATCTTGAAGCTACTGCCCTCTTCCAGAAACTTTGAATCCTGCCGACTTGTGCGTGGAGTTGCTTCCTCTAGGGAGCGGTAGGTGGGGTATAGGGGTTTGCGACAACTTCTTCTGGGGCTTTTGTATGACTTGTAAAGTTTGTCAGGTGGCCAAGATTGGTTAGCCTCAGCATCGAGGCCTCAGCATCGAGGCCTTTGAAGACCCTTGAGACATACGGGGATTGCAAACTACAGGGGTTCGGCACCAGGGATTCCATTTGGGATGTTTTGAAACCGCAATGAACCCACTGCATGATTGATCAATCCAGCTATTAATACTTTCAGTTCGGAAGTGCGCGATGTAGGGGCCAAGATTATCAGAACAGGGATTTGGGACATGTACATATACAGTGCTATACTCATAAAGGAGGATAGGGTTCAAGCGCCTACGACATAAGTGAAGAATGGTAATGTATGAGTTCATTAACGACTTCCGTTGGGCTTGAGAAGATCGCTACGCTTGCCGTTGTATGAGGGACTTGTCGCGGATCTCAGAAGGCATACTTCAATTGCCATTCACACTGGAAGACCTGCAGAGATGGTTCTTAAGGGTCCCTAAACCCTAAACCCTAACCGCGTCTTGCGGCTTGTTGAGCCTCCAGAACCTCAACGCGCTACAGGCCCGATTCTCCAGCCCAGAGCCCACAACCCGCGGTCCTCGACCCAGAAGCCTGGAAACTTGTGAACCTCAAACAGACCCTGGATCAATGAACCCTTGCTCTTTCAACACCATCAAACCCTAGGCCCTTGTACATATGGGAGTTTCCCAAAATTAGGGGTACCTGTTGGAGGGTCCCTATAACAAGGACTGTAGTATATTGGGCTCTAGGCCCCGAATGAACTTCCCAAACTTAGCGGCCCCGTTAGGGAGTCCTTGTAATGAGGATTAGAAGAGGCACCGGTTTTTGTAGCCAAGAACAACAATCATACCCTGATTCTCGGACCTGCCAGAGGGAGGATATCTCAGCTATGCCAGGTAGGAACACCAAGATGGTGCTGGCCTTGTCATGATGCTTTCTGAACATTCAAGGACCTTCACACTTTTTTGGGGGGATATACGGGTTATATGAGTTATATGGGGGGATATGGGGTTTGGGGTTTAGGGTCGATATATGAAGATTGCGGGGGGCTACAGTGGTCTTGATTCAGGATTCTCTTTGGATGGCGTTGAACAACCCCCTTGTCATGCTGTTTCTCGGGGTAAGGAACGAGAAGATACGGACTATAGAGTTTGGAGGCTGGTACAAACTTTTTGCCGTGCCCCAAGCGAAATGCAATGGTGTTGAGAATGCAGGGTCTACCAGTCTGCCAGGGCATCTTCCCCAATGATGAATGACCCGAACCCCCTTAATAGTGAGTATTCCCCTTAACAAAACATAGTACTTCATTGCGGGATGCTATTATTGTCATCATACATGCCACCGCATGGAAGGAACAAAAGGGGGGCTTAGAGGGAAGCGGGCTTAAGATCCCCATCTGTTGCCATCGCTGGCATGGAGAGATGCCTGACTTGGTATGGGGCGTTCGGCACGGCCTGCCCGCAGTAAGTTTTCGCAGAGACTGCTGCCCTAGATACGTGAGTACCGGTAGAAGTCCCAAAGAAGGACTGCGTGCATAATTCCGACATGACCTCCATGTGGAATTCTAGCTAGTAAAATCCTGGCTGGGAGTGATCATTTTGGGAGAGCTTTAGCAAGACGACGAAGTTGCCTGGACCACTCCTAAGTGGCAGCGTCCAACCTGATCAAAAATTGAGGGTTTCAGGAGGTTCTCTCATGTGAGCCATTGTCTAAAATCCTGGTATCCCCCTTAATAACCCCATAGTAGTCCCCTGAATAATCCCCTATATGAACCCTTTTAAGGAGTTTAGACTATAGCTCATATAAGAAAGGACATCCCTTAAAATCCTCCACGCCGTGGTCTTATCCCTCCAACCATTCAGCGGCTACCCGTCAGGATATAATTCTTGCGAATTCCCGTGTAACCCACCTATACTACCCCCACCGCCAGGTTCATCCTTAATTACCGGGGTGGTTGGGGAATCCATACTGAAAAGCCTCTTTTGTTCCTTCTTGGGTCCCTTTATTGCATTGGACCCCCTGCACAGGCAGGAGCCTCATGACTTACTTCAATTCCCCAAACCAAAGAAGAAACAAGCTACCCTGAACCTGCAGTCTTATCAACCTCAAATCATGAACTGCAAGCCCAAATCTATCATAAAATACACCCGGCGCCATCCGACACCCCACACCTGAACTTTTTCCTAAGCCCTAGAAGCCCCTGAACTGTCCCCAATAGGGGTTAGGGTTTAGGGTATAAGTTGGAAGGACCCCCCACCCTGTAATAGTGGTATAATCAGAATATAAGAGGACCCCTAATATGATCCTTATTATCCTTTATAGTCACTATTACAGGGTGGGGGGTCCACCTATTATATCCTGTAATAGGTCCCCCCCAAAACCCTATATAGTCCCCTATAGGTCCCCCGAACCTAAATTTAGTCCATAGCTCATCTGACTCTGCAAGCCCTGGGTGGGGGGGTCCTCCTAAGGTATAAGCCCCTGAACCCCCCCTTTGAGTGCCCGCGCTGGCTCTGCGATGACCTCCAGGAGCTCCAGAATGATCGGGTGCAGCTTGTCACCTGAAGATGGTTTAGGGATTAGGGTTTAGGGATTAGGGTTTAGGGTTTAGGGTTAAGGGGGTTTATCTGGAAGAAAGAAGGGGTTTACCAACAGTCTGGGTACCTTCCTAGTGGTCCCCATAACAAGGATTATAGTAGTTTGGGTTCTATATAGGGGTCCCCTATCAAAGGAAACTCCCAGACCTGAACTCCACCAAGAAGAAGGGCCGCAGCAGTGGTAGCAGCAAAAACATACATAATAAAACAAGTAATACTAATACAAATGGTAGTCGTGGTTGCAGTCGCCGCCTTTGTAGCAGCAGTAGGAAAATATCACAAATGAATCACAAGTACTAGCAAGACTTGTGGCGGTGTCGGCGACGGTGGCGCAACAATAAGCCCAACTATGACAACTAAAGTCAGATACCCTATTACAAGTCTGTCGTCGCAAAGCCGACAGAAGGGCTTCATGGGTTCGCTGTAGCTTGATCTGTTTGTGGATGCTATGCACAGAGTCACATGCAGGCTTTGAATGGGAGCTTGCGTGACAGGATCTAATGCAAGTATTCTAAGGGTTGATAGCGTGTAATAGGTAGAATAAAAAAGAACCAGCTCTTGACAGGACAGGTGAAAGTAGAAACTTCCTAGCATGAAACCTTGCTCCATGCTAGGATCATTCCTATGCCTTAGGAGAACCCCCCCCCACCCTGCAATAGTGTGCTATAGTCTGAACTCCTAGTATCCCTCTTAACAACCCCTTTGATACTCCTCCATCCAAATCCCTGTATAAGCCCCATTAAGAAGTGTACACTATGGCTCATATAGGGATGAGGTCAGGGTTATGTGAGGTTTATATAGAGTAAGTGGAGAGTTGAAGTGGCTCCACGGCCCATGTGCTAAAGAAGTGGCCTGACCTGCACGATAGCTGACACCCACGTGAACCACGCGCTCTCCACGACGCCTCGCACCCAACCCGGAGTATCTACCCGTAAGCTAGGGTCCTCAACAATTGGAATAAGGGATGTTTCTCAAAATAGGGGGAACCCCAACACAGACCCCAAAATACTATAGTCCTTATTATTGGGACTGCCAAAAGGTTACCCTTAATTGGAGACACCCAAATGATACCAGAACCATTCAAGCGTCTAAATTAGATGATGCCAAACAGGCTACAAGTTTGGTAACCGTTAAAAATCTCGTTGGGAGCGGCCCAAAAACAGAAGTCCCCCTAAGCATCCGAAAATACACTGCTCCTTCTTCTAAGGTTTAAGACTTGGACCCCTGAGTTTAAAAACTGTTGTTTCACAGGCCTTGAAATACAGCCTTCCTCATTAAGAGAACTTCCAGAAATCCAACCCGGATTTTGCATTTCACAGAGCATTGCAAGCCGTGGCTGCGGCAGTGTCTCTGGTCGATCCTCTTGGCCTTCTTCTCCCTGCCATCCCCAAACATGTCCTGCAAAGCTTAGCCATGTGAGGGTTTATAGGGTTTAGGGTATGAGGTACACTCAATGTCTCCCACATAGTTACCGGACATGGGTTCCTCAGTAGGAATATTGGGAACTCTACTAACCTGCAACAGGGACTTCAGTGTCCATAGTATTGACCGCAGCTGCTCAGCAGCTCAGATGAACTATAGTTACAAACTCCTAGTATCCCCCTATATAACCCCCATAATAGCGCCCTATTTTCCCCTGCATAACCCCACTTAAGGAGCTTAGACTATAGCTCATATGTCGAGCTACAGACTCTCATGAAAGAAACCCAAGATCTGGGACTTTCCAACACTATGTGTCCCAAGAGAATGGAAACTACTATAATGGATAATATGGGGTTTAAGGAGGGGTCACATTGGGATAATGGAAAAGGAAATGGAAACTACTATTTAGGGTTTAGGGTTCATAGTAGATAGAATATGGGGCATATGAGGATCTTATTCAAATATACCCAAAGCCATATTCTATCTACTTAGGGAGGACTATATCCCCAAAAGAGTATAACCCTCATTTTAAGGATCCCAAAGAAGGACCCCCGGTTCCTGGAAATCCTGATCCTTATACAAACCACGTTATACTCATACTCCCTCTTTCCATTTCATTGTCAATTTCCTTGCCCATTTGATTCTCCATTCTCGGGGTGTTATCCCTAAACCCCAAATGAGCTATAGTCTAAACTCCTAGTATTCCCCTTAATAAGCCCTAGAGTAGTCCCTATATAATTCCCTCTATGACCCCTTTAAGGACTTTAGACTATAGCTCATATGTCCCCTGTGAAATTCCTATGCTATCTTTCTGACACAAAGATGCGCACATGAAATGGATGTCCCTACGGCAGGACTGGCCATACATGCACAGACTCCTCTGGAACAGGGTTGGTTTAGCGTGTAGGGGTCCCAGTTCAGAAGTCACCAAACCTTGATCAGTTCAAATCACCTCAGTCTTTAGCCCAGGTAGGTCTAAAGACCAAGAGTCTAAGAGGGATATGGGGGACTTGGGAGTTAGCCACTATAGCCACCCCCTGACCATTGTTGTCAGCATAGGCGTCCTTGAGTCGACTGTTGAGGACGCCCTCACACCGCAGCCTCCTCCCCAGCGACCGGGACAGCTCCTTGGGTGTGTATAGTCTTCCTTAAGTAGATAGAATATCCTTTTTTATGGTTTTGGTGAACTCTGAACTCTACAATCTATCCACGTAAGGGGAACTATAAGATCCAAGCTTTTGGGTTTAGGACCTTGGGGGTTTTTGCTTTGGAAAAGAAAGCCCACGGGCCTGAATGTGGTAGTTTCCCTAAGAAGGGGGATCCCAATATAGAACAATTTAGACCCCTCCGAAGTGATGCTCTGCAAGGGGTCAGCATTCTTCTGCTTGCTGAGCAGGCCACGAAGTGTTCGTCGTGCAGTAGTGTCACTCAGAACAAGTGCCCGACTTCATCATGCGCATACTCTCATTCGAATCCACTTTAAGCGAGCTCACATTGCAACAACGAAGGTTAGCTTTATGTCATCCTGTTTGAATTGTCTGTGACAATGCCTTTTGGTACCATTCTCGCGCACGAGGTACTGTAAAGGCACAAAAATGCAAGGCATGGTAAGGGTAACCCGCGAGACACACGCACAAAGTCCTGCAGATACAAACTAAGGCGTGTCCAGCAAGCCAAAACCTGATCAACTGCTGTTGGACCCCCTCAACCCTAAACCCTAATCCTAAACCCTAAACCAGCATGCTGATGCAGCCCAGGTCGCGTCCAGGTAGTGCTCCTTGACCGGGAAGCATCGGCTGCCCACATGCAGACGGCCCACAGGAATTTTGCAAATATCGCCAAAGTACCTGACTTGTGGTTTAGGGTTTAGGTTTAGGGTTTAGGGTTTAGGGGTTTAGAGGTTTAGGGGTTTAGGGGTGTGGGGGTGTTATGGGGCGAATCAAGGTACGGGTCAAGTGGGTTGGGGGGGGGAGGCGTTGCCATGAATCAGGATCATGGCTATCTTGCAGGAATACCTGGCTCCATTTTGCGATGTCATCCAGACAGGGGTGGTCAACGAGTACTGGTAGGTGGGCCGGCAGGCAGAATCAAGTGACCGTCATCAAGTCATTCGAGCTTGTACATGAGTTCCGGAATTTCTGATGACATGAACTGATAGGATCGCACAAGGCACATGGTGCATGTGAGGCCTTCTCCAACCGAATGTCCTGGAAGCCCCACGTCTATGATGGGGCTAGAAGAGGATCCTTGGGGTTCCGTTTATCAAGGGAGACGCAGGCATCATCTTGAGGAGCTTCCAGATCATATGCCATATTCTGCCATACACGCTCCCGCTCATTCGGCCCTGCGGTGGATACTAAAAATCCTGCAGGTAGTGTATGGTTTTTGGTATCAACGATATTCCTGTATAATCCCAATATAATCCTAGTTTCCAGTTCATCTTCCAGGATTCTCTGTTACTGGGGTAATATCGCCATATAGCCCCTACATAACCCTCTATAACCCTACAATATTCGTATATACCCCAAGTTAACCATACGTAACGCCTATATATAACCCCTTGTGACAGTGACATCACCAAACCAAGCTTCCACTGTCGTGCCTTTTGGAGGCCCAAATGCAACCTCTCTCTCCATCTTGAACCCCCCCAACCCTAGAAACCTACCCTCATTTTAATTAATTATTACCTTTCCTACGATGACTACTATCACTCCTAGGAACTAAGATGGGACTTTATGAAATCTCCTTTTCAAGGCTCTGCTCTTTGCACCAAGTTTGTTTTTGCGGGGGGCGCAAACTGCAGACTCTCCAATTCCTGATCCCCTAGCCCTTTAACCTAAAACCCTATCGCACCGCAGGCGCGATTGTCGCCAAGGGGCCGTGCGAAGAGGTCTGATTGAAGCGTGGCAGACCTCCAACGAGCAAGCGGCTGGAGCAAGGGATACGTAGGTTTTTACAGTTTCCATGACTAGGGGGAACCCAATGTAGACCCAAGAATACGATAGTCATCTATAGCCCGTATTCTTGGGATGCCTAAAAGGTACACCCAGAGCAGGGAAACCCCAAATGTAGTAATTTGCCGAATAAGACATTCTGGAGACAAAGTCCGCTCCTACCACATGGATCAGGCTGCCTCGCGAATAAGCGGGCAGCATCCCTCTAGGCTTTTTCATTTGAATGCCTGTCTCGCATTCCACAAAACAATACTCTGAAATCAAGACCCTGACTAGAACTTTAATAAACACCTTCACCCCTTGTAACAACAAGTACTCCACCTCATACCTGTGTGTTCTGTACTGGAGGCCTTGGTCATTGGGCCTATGTACACCCCATATGAAAGGGTCCCTCAACCCAGAACCGTAAGCCCTAAACCCTAAACCACAAACCGCATGCGTAAACCCTAAGCCCCTGAGGCAGGGACATGATGATCAGCCGGGTGCCAGGGAAACGGTGCTTCGCCAGCAAGCGAACCACAAGGCACAGCATATCACTCTCTGCACCTGCGGGTTCCCCAAAACTAGGGGTTTAGGGTTGCAAAACTAGGGGTATCATTTTGTGCATATTGGGGTTTAGGGTTTAGGATTTGGGGTTTAGGGTTTAGGGTTCGGTGTTTACGGTTTGGGGTTTAGGGTTTAGGGTATCCTTTTGTGCATATTGGAGTACGACTGTATGTGGAAACTACCGCCTTTGCACTGAGTTTTGTCTCTTTTGGGAGGCTACATTTCATGCTTTCTGAAAATCAGCGGCCCTAAGGGACCCTAGGGACATCTGGGGACTACAAAGGGCACTGAGGTTCCCTGCAAAAACTCCAAGGGCAGATTTTGAGTACCTGTAGCTCGGGTACTTCCCGCACCCAATAACAATATAGAACAAGGGTAATAATGAGGCGTTACATAAATGCAAGGTAATTATTATCCAGCTGTTACTGGGTGGGGGCAGTGTCGAACCCCTAGCTCATGTGGCACTCTCATCTGGGCAGTCCCTTCGCTTCTGACAAGGCCAAGAAAGCTAGTTCCTTATTCCTTTTCAGATGTCATTCGAACCTATAGCTTTATGTTCTAAACAACCATACATTCAACAACATTCCTACATCCCTATCAATGCCTTCTCATCTCACTTTCCATTCCATGCCCATTGTCTGTTCCTGTTGTTATTGGGGTGATATGCCTAAATTTGGTGGGATCTCTGTCGAGCTACCTGAGCATCAGTATGTCAGAGAAACCCAATAAACTCTTTGCAAACTTTCCATACGCGCTTCTTCTTTTCTCATGGATGTAATGCCACATGGCAGAACAGAAAAGACTAATTACTTGAGAGTACGTAGTCCTAGGCGGGGCCGTAAGCTACACTAACAACTCTGACCTGGCGCACTTGCAGCCCTAAACCCTGAGCCATAAACCCTGTACCCTTGAACCTTCAACTTGCTGGTCTTAGTAGGGTTTAGGGTTTAGCGTTTAGGGGGGAAATACGGGAACGTGCTCATGGCTACGTTGCTCAGTCCAGCGCTTCGTTCGTGAACCTCATCGAGGACTATGTGCGTGTACTCCCCAAATTCCTGCGGCACCACAAAAGCGGGACCTTACTGGGATCATAAGCGGGCAGGAGCAGGCCCCTGAACCTAAACTCTACGTAAACCTTAAACAGCTTGCCTCACAGGGCTTGGTGTCTTGCCGCTAATGAAGAAAAATTTCAGGTACGATAAGGTTCGGGCATTGCCGCTGTCTCTAGCTTCAGCTGCTAGACATAGCATATCGTTGAACACTAACTGACGAATATATCTCTGTTGATGGCATCTGGCACCTGATCACCTGAGAATACGCGTTATCTTGGAAAGTAAAAGCCGCAACCGCATACACCTAGGTCCTTGATAGCAACTCCATCCTGAGAACTCACATCCTGAGCTCCCTCTACTGGGTTGCTGCTTAGGGTTTGGGGTTCAGGGTTCAGGGTTCAGGATTTAGGGTCTAGGGTTTAGGACTTAGGGAACCAACCTAAGCTACCGCAACATAGATATATAGGGGTGTCCAGGTCTGGAGGCACTACACACCAACAGAAACAACAACCATGTAGCCAAGATGCTCTTCTTTATCCATCCTACGGGCTGATGAAAATCATGAATTACTCTACGAATACTCTACTACTAACTACATCCCCCCAAGGGTTTAGACATATGGGGTCCAGGTCATGCAAGGTTATGTCTGTCAATAGAAGCACTAGATCCGAAGCCTTCCGTCATGGGCGAAAAAAGATGCAAGAACCTTCAAATCAATCTTCCGGCGCCTCTGGAGCATTGAGGAAAAGCTGCAGCGTGTAACCCACAGTGCAGTAGTCGATGTACTTTCCACGACTGCTGTCACCTGCAGGATCATTTCCCATGCTCTCCCCAGATATACCCCATATATACCCCCTTCGACGGACACAAGCAGAACCCCAGCATCTGCTGAAATCCTCATTGGGACTCACCAATAAAAGCATTAAACACCTATTAAACGCCCAAATCCCACGATTGCAGGTTTAGGGCTCAGAGCCAGAGCTTAGGCGCATATTCTGCGAATGCCCAATGGACTCGAGCGGAAACAAGGCGCCCGCGACGAGGGATTGTGTTGGGTACGTGTCGGGATATGTTTCGGAGTAGGTGTCGCGGTGTGTTTGAGGGGACATGTTTTCGGGGTGTGTTTCGGAAGCCTTCTAGCCATTGAGTCCTGTCATGTTTTTGGCCTGCCTGGTTCGCATATGGTTCGGGAAGATGTCTCGGGAGCTTGCAAAGCATAATCCTGGTAATTCTTCAGGCCTCTTCTACATTACGTAGGAAACTAGAACGCATATCAGGGTTAAGTATCGGCTCAAGACCGCACACCGAGGCTTTGAAGGATTATCCGCAAACTTGTCACCCCCGAAAAGGGACCTGCAAATTGCAGAAACCTCTCACTCTAAGGCTTAACAACCCAACTTACAAAAACCCTACATATTGTGGGAAGAACCTTACATGGTCCCTATTATCTGCGAAAATGAACCCAGAACTCAGAGACACTCCTCTATTTGGGATGCCGCCTCCTATCCGGTAGCCGACAGAGTCACCCAAGCGTTCACCTTGCCAAGGCTTTGGAGTTAAGGATGCTTAGGGTTT